TAAATCCATTTGCATTGGTATGAATAATTTTAATTGCCCATAATTGTACAGAAATACAGATCCTGAACATTAATTTTTCCATTTTTTAATTTAAACTAAAAAAAATAATTTGAATGTTAAAATATAGTTATGCATTTAAATCTTTGAAAAAAATTCTCCGACATTTTTAATTGTATCTATAGTACGCATAACATGAAATCATACAACACTGCAACAAATATGTTCAATAAGGTTTCATTTAATTGCATGGAACAGTTCAGACAGTTAGTCTTATAGGTTTGTTTAAATCCATAAACTCTAAGCTTAAGAACAGTAATAATGATGCTTGCCTTAGCAAGTAACTGTGACCAAAAAGCATGCACGATTCTGTTAAATCAAGGGTGAAGAATGATATATTCTGGTCACGCGATACCAAAATCTTACTTTATTGTGCACATTATAAAACACAAAGAAAGCAGAACAAGGTTCCCACTTGAACGACCTCTCCAGAAATGGGTCTGGTTGCCATAGGGATTCCCTTATACTGTCCCAGTCAGAATTAGAAGCGTCTCTGTGCAATCTGCCCACGAACAAGAGAGGACCAACCTTCCGTCTCACATCACCAACTGCCTTCAAATTACTCATTCTTACTGTACGCAAAGTTCAATCATCTGCAGCCCACACAAGCTACGGACAGACGGCCTCTGCCATGGATTATTCATGATGAGAAATATTTGCCTTTTGTTGAAGTAAAAAGAGAGGGCTGTTTAAAATGGAAATTCGCTTCTAAAAGATATATTTAAAAGTGACTGTGATGCATCAAGAGAGCAGAACGAATGTTGGCTCTAGAAAAAACTCTGTTTGGCAGGCTCCTAGGTGTCGATTAGGGTCGGGTCTCTCGTGATTTGATGCCTATGCAATGTATGGTGATATACTGTGTAAATTGGGTTATGTAACGAAAACAAAGGCACGTTGGATCTGAATCTCGGGTTTTATTCAAAAGAGTTGTGGCTGTCTGCGATGCTTGATGAGATCAAAAAGAACGTTTTTTCCTCCTTACTTGCTGAACACGACAGCATATTGTAGAAGACTTTGATAGAGAAACAGACCATGCAACAAGCAGCTAAGTGCATTACTGTTTGTTTTTATATTTTTTAGCTGCAAACATGCTGCCAGAGTGCTTTAGCTAAGGACTTTAATCAGGAAAGATGATTTTTATTTTATTTACTTATACACTTTCAGAAAAAGCGGTCAGGAGGAGACCAGAAGAAATTCCCCCCTTCCATATATAAAGTGTGTTTTGAGTGCCAAGAGAAGCGCTATATAAATGTAACAAATTATTATTATATACTACTGTACAAAAGTTTGGGGTCAACACTAATAATATGACAAATACTAATACTAAATCAATATTTTTATTCAGCAAGGATTCATTACAGTGATCATAAGTGTCAGTAAAGACATTTATAATGCTACAAAAGTTTTTTTTATTTCAAATAAATGCCGCTTTCTTTGAGGTTTCTATTCATTAAATAATCCTGAATAAAAATGCATCACAGTTTCTACAAAAATATTAAGCAGCACAACTGTTTTCAACATTGATAATAATATCTGAAGGATCATGTGACACTGAAGACTGGAGTAATGGCTGCTGAAATATAAAGCTGAATTTCAGCAGCCATTACTCCAGTGTTACATCCCAAGAAAAAAAAAATACTTTTTTAAAAAAACATTAAAATGCTTTTTTTTTTTTTTTTTTTAAACTTAAATTGTGATATTGCAAAAAAAAAAAGAAAAAAGAAAAAGAAAAATGCAGCATAAAAGACTTGCCAACCCCAAACTTTTGAATAGTAGAGTATACTTTGCACATCCCTAATATAGAAATGATTTAACTCTAATCTGTAGCCCACCTTTCTGGAAAAATCCATATCTCAATTCTCACATTCTCAATTCTGAGACATCACGCACAAGCCAAATCCTCCATAATCCCACAGCTAACTTCTTGGTGCACTCATTCAAGACAAACAACATTGTATAAGGAAGCGCACGTTAATAATTGATAATTCAGACATGTAATACAATCTTAAATACAATCTCAGTTTTTCTTGAAAGTCTATCACACTGCATCAATAGATCTTCTTGAGGCAACTACAAATTAAGTGCTTCACATTAAAGACCACAAACATCTACTAGAATAATGCTAAAGATGTTTTAAATAATCTGAAGCTTGGTCTTAGCCCATACTTACTAAAACAATTTCCAAACAGATGGAATAATTTAATATAATGATGATCCCTAGTGGTTGAGATAATGGATTTCAGCATTTAACTCCAATTGGTCTACACAAATGTTCTTCAGACTTTCTTAAGCCTATAACTGCAAGTTGATGGTATCAAGATTTCTATAAGCGACAGAAAGTAAACATGCATGAAAAAGGCAAGGGGAAGGACTCAAACAGGAGGAGATAAGCAATCTAGCAGCTGAGCAGACAGATCTAAAGGCTGAAGGAGCATGAGTCTGTTGGCTGCGTTCACACTGAGGCTGCATCAGGGCAGATGGTGGGGAGAGTTGAGGATGCGCGCACACACACACACGCTCACACACACACACGCACACGCGCGCACACAGTATGGAGAAAATGTGATGGCCATCAAAATTGCCTCTGAAAACACTTAGAACACCTTGACAACACCTTAGCAACGAGCCAGTGATTAGGCAAGCACAACACACATTTTTTTCAAATTGAAAAAATAAATAATTGTTTAGTTTACAAAATCTGGCGTTTAGGGGTATCGGGAAATGACTCAAACTTGTATTGCCCATTTGAGCACCACATTCATTTAGAGTTCATTTCGGGAGTTCGAAACAGCTCTCCAAAGCCAAATTTCGGGAAAGGTTTGCTCCGACTTGCAAACACTTTCAAACTACCATTGGTCCATTGCGATTACATAATAGGATTGTGTGCTCTGAAGCTCCGCCTTCCTTGACGTGGTAATCTTCTCTGGTTCATTTGTTCTGTTCAGTCCGTCGAAGTCAGAGCGAATAAAAAAGTCAGAGATGCTTTATCTGTAATTCTAAACGAAAGCGACACAGAGACTATTTTTTCATGTTTAATACTGTACAGCTGCTTGCTTTACAGCAATTCATTCTATAAGGTGCAATATAAATAAGCGTGAAGTGACGACTCAAACTGGAGCTGGTGCAAACACATGCACATCGGTTTGATCGGATGCTTTCTTAACTTCTGTTTTCTCACCGTTGTCATTTTTGTTGTGTGTTTATTTTGTTATTGAGAAGAAAGCGTGCAGCACATATTTACATATTCATCTAAATATGCTGCTCTCAGCAGCGTGGTTGCAGTTGGGATATTTGCTAACAGTATATCGCTGCAAAGGTATTTCAAACATCTTTTTACCCCTAATCAAAGAACGATAAAGAACTTTTGAGTGTGCATCTTTAATCTGAGATCAGCTTTCCCTTCAACAGCAAACCTTTCTGTTAGGGGTGCACGATTCAGAAAATGTCACGATTCGATTCGATACCGATTTTTTGTCTCAAGATTCGATTCAAAATCGATTTTCGATTCAAAAACGATTCTCGATTCAAAAAACGATTCACAGTATATAAATGTAGTTTACTTTTTCCATGTGATTGATTGCAGTAGACACAATTTAAAAGAAAAAAAACCACAACAAATTAAATGTAGTTTGATATTACTTTATATGTTTTCATACAAAAATAAAAACTTTTGCAACTAATAAGTGCAAAGTGCCAAGCTTTGGCCAGCTTTCAAATACATTTAATTCAAGTTTAAAATAAAACTTAAATAAAAAGCTTTTACATTTAGCTTTAAAGTGCTGTAGTCAGATCAAACAATGTGGTTTAAAGACTACTTCAGCTACCAGCTGACTGTTGAAATGTGAACTCGACTGGGCACATTGAACTTCCTAAAAATATATACTAATGTCATAGAACCCTTGCAGAATTATTTTAAAAAGCCACCGCTACTGGTAACATCTATGGTTAGATTGATTTGTTTAGATCCAGTGAAGTCGATCATAGGCGTAATTTGCGGGTATCTCCAGTTAACTAGCAGAGCATTCATTTAGTTCGCTATTAAATAAGAGATCTGTTGTTTTTGAAATCAAGCTGCGCGCTCGTGTCCGCTGCTATCAGTGTCATGGATACAGTGTTCTCTGTGGCTCGCGCAGTCTTCACTCGGACACGCGCTTCAATCTATCGCCGTTGTGGAGACTCCGGTGCAATCACAAAATAAAATGCACACAAACGTGATGAACATATTGGGTTTTGATGAGAGAGAGAGAAAAAACTATACGAGTGCGGTTTAGAACCCGTAACCTCTGACACGCTTGGCAAAAGATCTACAGAACTCAAACATAAGATCTGCGGATCGATGCATTTATTTACGGGTTGAGCAGAGAGGCTGCAGTTTGACCAGCGTGCGGCAAGAACTTGCAATGTAACTGTTTATCAGACCGGCCCTCGCGGCCTCGAAACACTACCGGACCACCGGTAAAAGTCCCGACTCACCCGATTCCCACTCCGCCCGTGCATGCCATTAAAAAAATATATATGAATCGATTTTTGGAATTCTATGAATCGATTCTGATTCGGTAAAGATTGAATCGCGATTCAAATGTGAATCGATTTTTTTGCACACCCCTACTTTCTGTCCTTATGCACCATCTCTCCATTTACCTCCTACCCAATTCGCAGTCCTGCAACTCTCATTTGTTGCTGTCTTTGCCCTCATCCCCTGCAATTCTCTCTTTTTGTCCTTAATTGCTATGATTAAATCTACTGCTTAATAATTACTGTCTCCATCCCTCTAGATAGTCCAAAAACACTAACAAACTCGGCGTTCATTCCCTCACAACCTCTATGCGGCAATACACCACTCATGTCGAAGTTACTGCACAAACACAGCATTCAAGTGAAGTTGTAAAGCTTTGAATTTTAGAGAGCAGGCATTTGGTGAATGATGAAGAAGAGGAATTTACCTTGATGTAGTAGTTCAGCTGTGGATAGACCCTCTGTACCCCCAGGAAAATAGAGAGAGGGGTTCGGTGAGGGAAGGAGGCCGTGACGACATGTGTAACCTCTGGGAAAGAGAAAACCCGAAAACCGTGCTTCTCGTACAGCTGCTGCTGGCCCTCATTGGGCCTGTCCTCACCTTCACTCAGAATACTGCCCACAGCATAGCGACACTTCTGTGCTGGAACCTACAACACACATTTCGTAAAGTAGAACCAGTGTGAATATTGAAATCTTGTGAAAGGTTTTTATTTCATCAATGAAGACAATAATGAAAAAGAAAATAGAAGCACTGCAAGATGTACAGTAAATAATACAATATTGCAGAAGAAGAAACTATTTCAAATAATCTTGTCATAGTCAAGCATTTAAAATTAAATGCATTGTTAGCAGGATATAGCCCACTCATACAAGATTAAAAAAAGAAAAGAAATTAATACATTTATTCACCAAGGATGCATGAAATTGATCAAAATTGACAGTAAATGTAGGGTTAAGAAAAAAATATTGAGAAGCACAACTGTTTTCAACATTGATAATAAGAAGGAATGTTTCTGGATCACCAAATCAGCATATTATGATTTCTGAAGGATCATGTGACGCTGAAGACTGGAGTAATGATGCTGAAAATTCAGCTTTGCATCATAGGAATAAATTACATTTTCAAATATATTCAAATAGAAAACAGTTATTTTAAATTATAATAATATTTCACAATTTTTACTGTATTTTTGATCAAATAAATGCATCCTTGGTGAGCTTAAGAAACCTTTTCAAATAACATTAGCAATAAAGCAGGCTTATATCAAAGACAATAAACACTTCTCTTGCCAACAAACACTGATCTTCCCAAACAGCATATCCACAAAAAAACTTTCCCAACCCCATTAAAACCCATCAACTGCCTGCAGTAATCAGCAAAAAGAGCCATACACCTCTCACAAGGCTTATCTTATGCAACAAATAAGCAGGAAAAACTCTTGCTTGCGCAGTTGTGTTCAAAGACAACGGGGAACGTGTCCATGATTCAGTGAGTCACAGAGGAAAAGCTAGCTTAATGAGAATAAACAAAGCCACGGCTGAAAAAGCATATAAATACGGGATTAGATGGAGTTGCATGAGCAGGTGGCATTGTGTGGCGAAAAAACAACAACGAAGCTATAGTTTGATAAGATGGTGCATAGTGTTTGGCAGCTTCGAGACCAGTGTGGACGGATGCACAACAGTCACTTTTCATGCACGCCTCTTGCTTTTACCAACTGAAGGCATATACGCTTGCAAATGAGGGCACCGGGGAAATTTGAGATGGATTGTTTGACCCAGGTTCAGGTCCCTCGAGGATTCGGAGGGAAGAGGGCTAGCTCACTGAAGACAGACTGTGACAGATGAAGGTCTGTTTAGAAAAGAGGCTGCAACAGTTCCCAGAACATCCCTCTTTTCATTTGGAGGAAAGTGTTCATTCCTCTTGTAGTCTTCTGGGTCACTTCCGGCCTCCTGCCGAGCCTTCCAGGAATAAATTGCACTGCCAGTCAGATAAAACATCAGTCAGAAAAGCAGATAACCAGATCAATTAAACTGGTTTTAGTTTTCTTTTATGTGTGCAATCGTTCTACAGCCCAACTCTTCGTAATTCTTTAAGTAGTCTACTCACAGCAGGAGCGTTCTGCGGCCCAGGTCTGCGGGAGGTCTTGTTTCCTGGTGCGCTCCCAGCAGGTGTTGCTCACGGGGAGTGTGTTTTAACAGACTGGCCTGTCACTAAGCCTCCATTTACTCAAAGGCTTTGACACAGATTGTGACTAAGTCTCTCCCAACACGGCATTAGATTATAAATAAATGAGACCACAACAACAAAAACTCTGAATTGCCAGAGACCATGTTCTGTCAACAGTTTTGTCAAAGTTTCTTTTTTTAAATGATGTCAAATATTGCAGGGGAGCAGAAACAACGATTCATTAGTGCATGTTATTCCAAAACATAAAAAAAAAACAATCTTAGGGCTGTCAAATAGATTAGTTGCGGTTAATCGCATCTAACATAAAAGTTTGTGTTTATATAATGTGTGTAGATTTATATGAATGAATGAATGAGGCATTTATATAGCGCTTTCATATGTACTACTGTACACCCAAAACGCTTTACAATCATATCAGGGGGTCTCTCCTCAACCAGCACCAGTGTGCAGCATCCACTTGGATGATGCGACGGCAGCCACAGTACAACGGCGCCAGTGCGCTCACCACACACCAGCTATAGTTGGAGAGGAGAGAGAGTGATAGAGCCAATTCAGTGGATGGGGATTATTAGGAGGCCATGATTGGCAGAGGCCAATGGGTGGAATGTGGACAGGACACCGGGGTTACACCCCTACTCTTTACGAGAAGTGCCATGGGATTTTTAATGACCACAGAGAGTCAGGGCCTCTGTTTAACGTCTCATCCGAAGGACGGTATGTCTGTGTGTGTGTGTTTGTGTTTACACACACACATATATGTATGGATACAGTGTATATAGTATACACATACACACACAAATATATAACATATATAAACACAAACTTTTGTTACCTGCGATTAATCGCGATTAATTGATTTGACAGCACTAAATTTTTTTATAATTTAATCCCGACGGCCCTACATTATTTTTCATTGAGTATCTTGTTTCGTTCCTTTGAAGGCAAAATGGTGATGGGCTTGTGGAGTCAAACCAGCAACCAAATGACTTTTAGGCTTCACTGAGCCTTAACCACTACATCATATACCACACATTACAATAAACTACCAATCAAAATACCAGTAAGTCATACTACAAAAATCACACGTTCCTGCCGACAACTGGAAAAGCTCATACAGACTAATTGGATTTAGAGTTGCAATGTGGGTACAGGAAGGAGGGTTAACCGTAGGGTGGCATGTTTAGTCCCGACTGAGGTAAACATCTGAAAAGAAAGCTTGTAGACATTGAAATATGGCGAGAAAAGATAATTCAAGACACTGAACTGACAGGACGACAGAAGTACTGATGAGCATATGTAACTGTCAGCGTAGCGGTTCTGTTTTACTTTTGTCGTTTTACTTGTCAAGCAGCAGTCAAATCCATTTCAGGCAAATGTGCGAAATGTCACTGAGGTTATACGGCGTTGCAGCAGTCCTCTGGGAAAATGACTCCAAAATACCTCGGAAAGGCAGACTCATTTATTCATCACTTCAGACGCACTTTAAAAAGCCCTCGCTGTCACTGCCGCTATCCGCATCTTCACAGTGGACTGCCTTTTCATGTTCCTGCCATCCTCAGACAGCCAGGATGCTGTGAAAATACTAATAGTTTTGATGGCGAGAGCCAGTTGGAATTCTGTTACAAGACGTCTGTTGACAACAGGATGCTTAAGTTCCTTACTGAAAATGGCAGTCTGTTGACATTATCTTTTCTGTCACTAGTCAGATTTAATCAGGAGTGATGAATCGTTAAGATGATCACAATAAGCTATCAAGCTCATCAAATAATTCACAGTTGTCAATAACAGAAAGCGCTCAGTTAGGGCCCTTCTTTGACATGAGTTAAAGGCATCTCGGCATCTTTCTGTTACAAGCCAGAATATAAAATTAGCTTTCAATCAAGTTAACTTCCTGGTGTCACAGACAGAACACCGGTTTATTTGCAAGCTACAAAGCATGAAGTATGTACCTCACGGGTGATTTTAAAATACAAACTTTTCAGTAACAGTAAGGCACACTGTCAGAAAAATGTGTAAAACAATGGTACCTTTAGCTTGCCATTGGGAATGTACCCTCAAAGACACACTTTGTACCTTACCTACTCCTAAAGGGTGCAAATTAATACCTAATGGTACTCTTGAAGGGATAGTTCACCTACAAATTGAGTAATCTATCATGTCGTTCTAAAAACATCATGATCTCACTGGATTCTTTTTGTCCATAATGAAAAGCAATGGTGTCCAATGTTGTTTAAAACCACAATTACTTTCAAAATATCTTCTTTTTTTTTGTTCCACAGAGGGACTAAAGTCATACAGGTAGTGAACCAGTGTTATTTTAGTATTATTTATATACTATCATATTAATAATTTTAATTATTTATTTTCAAATTTTCAGTTTTCATTTCCATTTTCCATTTGTCAACTTAAATTTATTTATTCAATTAGTTGACAAGGCAACATTTAATTTTCGTTTTTTGAAAAATGTTTTTAATATAATAATGTTATAATGACATGAAGGTGAGCAAATGATGACAGAATTTTTTTGGGGGGGCTGAACTAACCCTTTAAGCTGCTCATATGCACTCTTAAGTGGTACATAAGGTAAAAAGACTCCTCCTAAATGTAACATTTTTGGACAATTTCTCTGACATGTCATAACATTTTGCCTTGATATTACAGACCCCTTAGTTAGTCCATTCACATCACAGAACCATCGTAAATCCCTCCACTTGTGCTATGGAATGAGCAATACTAGCACCAGCATACACGCATACTTCAAAAATCCAGCAGAAATATAGGCCTACTCAAATTACAACAACACCTACTCTAATAAAAGCCTTCGACACAAGCATCTGGTGCACCTATTTTTTCTTCTCATCTTTTTGACTGACTCTCAAAAAGCAGACGTGAAGAACAGAGAAAGAGCAAACCCTAAAACTCTCCGTCACTTAGGGACTGGAATGCCTTTCATGGCCCTTCACAAAATCTGGCATGTGAAGAAGTCTCCCCGGCTCTTCTTATCCATGGCAACCATCTTCAGACCCACGGGCTTCCACTTCCACCGCATTGTTTGGCCTGATGAGAGGAAGTTCCCAAAAGCTCTCTTCTTTCTATCAGCAGCCTTTAGGAGCTTTTGACCCCCGGGGTTTATTAGCACCCCAGGCTCCTCTCTCAACGAGTTGAGATCATTATGCCAATTAGCTGAACTGGATCAGAACTTGGCCATGGCTGTATGCGTAGAGCTTTGGACAGTTGCTAAATGGGGACTTGGGTAAAGAAAAAAACAGTCTGTCAGTGACAATGAGGCTTTGAAAGTAAGGCCGAGCTGTCACTCAAGAGTCCGACTCCATTCCAGTAGGGCTTTCTGGTGGGAGGTTGAGTACACATTAACGCTATGAAAACGGATTTGACCGGTTGAGAAGGAGGTGGGCAGGAGGTGTGAGAAATGTGATGCAAGTTCTGCATCAAGAAGGTCTTGTGCACAAACAGGAAAACCAAGAGAAATTCTTTGCCAAACGAGCCAAGAAATAATTCCAGCAACACCGTCAACCTACACACACTGAGCAGGATGGTGGGTTTCTGCACTGAAACGATGGTTATTTACTGAACCTCCATTTGCAACGGCTCCAGTTGAGTTTTTTTTTTTTTGCAAGATAAATGCATACATAAATAGATAAATATAAATACATTCCCAAATCCCAAATAAGACACACTGCTGCAAACTTTGTGAGACAACTTGAAAAGTGATCATTTAACCCAGAGGGTCACTGGAGCCACTGAAGGTCAGATGAAAAGTCACAGAAGCCGTGGTGTGAGCTCATTTATATTCCCTAAAAGTGTAAGGGCATTAAGGTCAAGTGAAGTAGGTAGGTATAGGGCAGCAACTCTGACACATTTTACCTTTTCTGCTTTCCTCTTTATGACATTCTGAGGTAAAGGTCCCTGCTCTGAGCTTTTCCTCTTAATTCAAACCATACACCCTAGACCGCTTCGATCGGCTACTTCTGCATGTCTACATCCACATTCTCTACTATTTGTACCGAACGGAATCTGAACACAAACAACCGAAGACTGACGACAAACAACTTCAGAATTTAGCTACGTGAATAAACCAACACAGTCTCAGGAAAGTGCGTATTTATACCACGAATGTCATTTCTCGTGCCATTTATACGCCACAAATGTTTGTTTTTTTGCGTGCATATGCTACGCACTGAAAACCCCTTGGGTAGGTTTAGGGGGGAGGGGGTGGGGAGTGCGTGCGTGCGTATTACACGCCATAAAGTGCGTATCATACCTATGGTATCATATGCACGGGAAAACTGCGTATCATATAGACGCAAAAACTATTTTTGGCGTATAAATGGCACGAGAAATAACATTCGTTGTATAGATCCGCACTCATAATAGACGCAACATAAGCTAAACTCATCTCCTGAATAAACTGTTCTGACTTGTATTCAGCATTGAAACACCATTGGGAGTTGGAACTACTGTATATTTACAACTTTTGAGGTGATTTTTTTTCTTGGAACAAGAAAGAATTTTGAATTAATGTGGTCTTTCCCAAGCAATTAAAAAGAATGGCAAACTTTTAAGCTTGACCTGGAACTTTCAATCTTTAAAAGAAGAAATGGCAGATTCATGAATAAATCATTCATTTGAGTCAGATCTTGACAATGAATCAGCTGATTTGATTGATAAAACTGGTCTGGGATTCGTTCACGAGTCAAACTGATCTGGTGGGGTCAGTTTATAATCAGAGCGTCCTAATTCCTTGTACTTGCATGGAAAAGAGAGAATACATTAGCCTATTAAAAATGTAGTTTTTGTGAAATAAAGCCTCACAGGTTTGGAACTGCATGAAGGTAAATAATTAATGAAAAAGGGTTTTTTCTATTCCTTTAATGTTACCACTTTTTTCTTTGGTATAAGAATATCTCTGCTTCAAATAAATGTAAAATGTAATCAGTCAAAACAGGTTTTATAATGTAATAGCCATGACTAATTCTCTGGCTTTAGTAACTAATGATGCATTTAAATTTAACACAGCGAGATACAAATTAAAAATGTGTGTACAGCAGGCTAATTAGGAAATGTAATGCCATTCATCATGATTATATATGATAAAAAGAATGATACGCGATAAGAGCAACACAATAACAGGTAAACTAATTATATCAGAATATCAGAACATACATTACAAACATATTCCACCCCCCACATGGCCAACTGCGTAATAAACATTAGAGCACAACATGACTATATATCAACACCTCCATCTAGTGGTGTATGAGGACCAACATCTCCAAATGGTCAGAAATTATACCTTTCTATAACCAATGCACATTAAAATAGCTATAAATTAATACAACTGAATAGAACAAATAACAGAACAGAAACTTAGTGTGCATAAATTCTCTAATAAAAAGCTCTCTTGTGAGACCTTTGTAAGAGACTAGACTACTTGAAGGGAAATGTTATGGATTACACGGTCAAACAAACAAACTAAACAGCAAATTTAAATGCAATGGATTCACTAAACTAATTGAACTAATTTACTTTCATGAGGGAATTAAAGGTTAATGCATGTGTAATGTATTGGATGTGCTGAGGCTGAGCTCTGCATACTGAGTGTTCAGTAAACAGGAAACAGCCAGGGTTGCTCTGAAGCCACAACTCAGACTATAATTGTGTTATTTACACATGACGTTATATATTAGTCAAATATAATGAGAATGATGATGGCTGTGGGAACTAGAAGTTGATTCTATATATATCAACTTCTAATTCCCCCAGCCATCATCATTCTCATTATATTTCATATATTACATTGTGTGTGTGTGTGTGTGTGTGTGTGTGTGTGTGTGTGTGTGTGTGTGTGTGTGTGTGTGTGTGTGTGTGTGTGTGTGTGTGTGTGTGTGTGTGTGTGTGTGTGTGTGTGTGTACTTGTACAACTATCTTTGTGAGGACCAGTTTGAGTTTTAGACCATTGGAGTGAGGACAAAGAGAGTAAAGTGAGGACATTTTGTCCTCACTTTCTGAGACCCCTTTAAAGGCCTGTTTGAGGGTCAAGACTTGGTTTTAGGGATAAGGTTATAATTAGGTTAAGGGTAGGTTTAGGGTAAGGGTTCGGGTTAAGCACTTAGTTGTGATGAGTAAGGTTAGGGTAAGCGGCTAGAGATTGCATTGTGTCAATGAATGTCCTCATAAAGATAGATGTACAAGAGTGTGTGTGTGTGTGTGTGTGTGTGTGTGTTCGTACAGTACCGGTCAAAAGTTTAGAAACATCACTATTTTTAATGTTTTGAAAGAAGTCTCTCATTCTCATCAAGGCTACATTTATTTGATCAGAAATACAGAAAAAAAACTGTAATATTGTGAAATATTATTACAATTTAAAATAATGGTTTTCTATTTTAACATACTTGATCCTTCACATGATCCTTCAGAAATCATTCTAATGCTGATTTATTATCAATGTTGTGCTGCTTAATTTTTTTTATAACCTGTGATAATTTTTTTTATGATTCTTTGATGAAAAAAAAGAAGAAAAAAAGAACAGCATTTATTTAAAATATATTTTTTGTAACAATATACACTACCGTTCAAATGTTTGGGGTCAATAATATATTTTCGTTCTCTTTTGAAAGAAATTAATACTTTAATTCAGCAAGGATGTGATAACAAGTGATAGTAACAATTTATTTTGTTAGAAAACATTACTATTTTAAATAAATGCTGTTCTTTTTAACTTTTTATTCATCAATTAATCCTGAAAAAAGTATCACAGGTTCCAAAAAAATATTAAGCAGCACAACTGTTTTCAACATAGACAATAACTGAGTATCAAATCAACATATTAGAATGATTTCTGAAGGATCATGTGACACTGAAGACTGGAGAAATGATGCTGAAAATTCAGCTTTGCATAACAGAAATAAATTATATTTTAAAGTATATTAAAATAGAAAACTTGTAATAATATTTCAAAAAATTAATGTTTTTTTCGGTATTTTTTATCAAACAAATGCAGACTTGACGAGCATAAGAGACTACTTTTAAAAACATTAAACATAGTAATGTTTCCAAGTTTTTGACTAGTACTGTACACACACACACACACACACACACACACACACATATGTATACATATGTAATGCACATTTATAAATGGAAAAAAAGTGAATCTTTTTAACATCTCTTGAATCAGTTACAGGCTGTAATCACTGAAATAGTACCATTAATAATTCCAGATATAATACAATACTGCTAATGCAGGAATATAATAGTGTCTTAAAATAAAGGGTCCCCATCAAGGTACACTATAGGCCTCATTCATTCTACAGTCTACTCACCTTCTTTGGATCATCATAGAAGATCCCAATGCACGACAGCTTGGGTCCAATGCTGCGGCTCTCTTTGAACAGGGACCCACAGTTTTTATAAGGTCCCACTTTGTATTTATAGGCTATAGTGATGCTCCTGATAGGGGGTAAACCAGTCCTGATATGGATTTCAGAGGTCAGTCCCGAGTACAAAATGTAACATACAGCTATGAGAAAAAGAACTAGAGAGATGAAGCCTATGACACTCGAAATCTGCCATTCCCACATGTCAGCTGAACGCTGTATTGTGAGGTTAAAGTGTGAATAATAACCGAGAGCTGCTTTTAACGAGTATAACAGACTCTCAGGTTCATTCATTCAGCAAACCATCCGTACTATGTGGGTTTTACTAAGCGACTGCATTGGTTAAAAGTGAAATGGACTCAGATTAAAGGATTTATGACTAGAAATCAAAACTTAGTTGAAGATGGCATACAAGCCACTCAAAAGCGCAGATTCACTTCCTTAAACCATAAACACAGAGAAGTCGCGCTCGAGCTTCCTGGACGCAACCATCTTTGTTATACGGGTGGGAGATATTTACTACCGCCTAAATGGAAGAAAGTCTCATGTCTATTTTCTAAACATTTATAACACATTTTTTGTATCTGTCATTCACAATTTAATACAGAAAGGTGTTCTAAATGGTTCAATGGTTTCACTCTCATATTTATACCGATGGGATGATGATTTGGTTTGAACTGGCTTTTATTTAATTAACCTTTGGGCTGTCCTTTGTTTATATTATGCTTTTTTATGTTTCTCGTTTTTAAAAATGCACAGAAGAGAATAAACACGGACTTGTGATGCTCCATTCGCGAACGAATCGTTATTTATAGTAGGATTATTTTAATGAACCGATCGAATCGGTTCACAAAACCGGACTATACTAAATTATTGGTTCACTCGGGCTGAATCACTCTCAACGGTCTCGAGACTCACCGGCTTATTGAACCGAACCTTCTCACAAGTTCGATTCTTAAAGGAACCGAGATCTGATTAGTCATTGTTTGACAGAAGGTGGCAGTGTTTCGCGACTGGGTTTCACTTACCTCTTGAAAGCTACGAGACAGCTTTCATTTCCTTGAATTGCACATACGCTGTTCCCTCCCTATGGTTCCCTCCCCTTAGACTCAAGGTTCAACTCAAGGTTCGTTGATAAAACAAGCAGCATTTTACACTTCAAACTAAAGAGTAAACAGCATGGCAGGGACCGTGAAGAAGCTTTGTGATCTGTCCGCCAAACTTTTGTCAGGGGAGCTCCTGAATTTTTCGTCTCTCAAAGGTAAAGTTGTGCTCATTGAAAATGTGGCGTCGCTTTGAGGCACAACGGTCAGGGATTACACCCAGATGAACGAGCTCCACAGCCGCTATGCTGACCAGGGGCTGGTGATTCTGGGCGCTCCCTGCAACCAGTTCGGACATCAGGTGACACTTCGAACAGTTTTGGGTCATTCATCGGTTGTTTAGGCTAACGTTAACGTTACTCATTTTTGAATGCACTCTGTGATGAGTTGAAAGAGAAATGCTATTTATTAAACGTTATATATACATTTTATTTTATATATATATTAGTTAAAATATTATTATTTTAAAATAGAATTTAATTATCGATACACTACACTGATTATGTGTAGTAAATATTTGTAATAAATACTTTCAAATAAATTATATATATATATATATTAGTTTATTACAGGTTTTTAATATCTTAAAAAAAAATATATATATATATATATATATAATTTTGTTCTAGGATGTCTGTACATCTGGAAAGCTTTCAGCGGTTTGCTTTGATATTGCTTTGATAAAAAAAATATTATGTGCTGACCTCTATATCGCTATCAGTGAAGCTTTGTTTTGATGACAATGACAATGGACAACCTGCATTGTTAACTGATTTCATGCTAATATGCCATTATCTGCTTTATTGCATAACATATGGTGCAATTTTTATTGCTTAACAGGAGAACTGCAAGAATGATGAAATCCTGCTGTCTCTGAAGTACGTCCGGCCGGGAAATGGCTTCGAGCCCAAATTTCAGCTTTTGGAGAAGATGGAAGTGAACGGTGAGAACGCCCACCCTCTATTTGTGTTCCTGAAGGGGAAGCTCCCTCATCCCAGTGATGACGCTGTGTCCCTGATGGGTGATCCCAAATCGATCCTCTGGAGTCCCGTGAGCAGGAATGACATCTCCTGGAACTTTGAGAAGTTTCTCATCGGCCCGGACGGGGAACCGTTCAAGCGCTACAGCAGAAGGTTCCTCACCAGCGACATCGAAGCAGATATCAAAGAGCTTCTCAAGAGGACCAAGTAAACCTGGAAGGCGGCCTCCTCGTGTTTGGCCACGCAAGATAGACCGTCCATTCCATATCTCATGTAGCCATTGCTTCTTAAATAAGATTGTTGTTTGATATATGCCGACTGTGCAGACATGATTAAAGTGCGACTGTTTTTTCGACTGTTTACTTAATGAAGATGCTTCCTAAACCTTTCTGAGGGAAGTTTCTGATGTAACTGTAAATGTTTATTATAATAGTTGTATTTTATCCATGAACTGCACAGCTTGGGTTTTATCTTTCAACTTTTAACTCAAAATAAAAAAATAAAATAAAAATCCCATTGTTCCTTAATTCACTGAAACAATAAAAAAAAAAAAAAAACGGAAGCAGTTCATATGACAAACCTCAGCCTTACATTTTCACTTCCACATTTTTCTTTCATTTTGAGTCATGCACAAGATAATATTCCCCTCGGTGCTTTTTTTAAAAAGTTCAGTGCTATGAGTGTTATAATGCCCAATTAATTCTCTACCTAAATAAAATTGGGTTTAATGATGATCAGCATAAAACTGAATCCAGTTTAGATTGCCTAATGTCAGCATTACCAAGCATAAACACTGAAAATAACTACACACAGTGCAATGCTGAAATATTGTCATATCATGCTTATGTGGAATCTAGACATTCACCTAATCAGAATGATACAATATTTTCTTTATTATTTCAATTTTGATACAAGTATATACAGTGTGAAAAAAGGACACCCTATTAACTCTGGTTTTATGTATCAGGACATAAAAAATCATCTGGTCCTTGGCAGGTCTTAAAATGAGGTAAATGCAACCTCAAATGAACAACATATGACATCATGTCATTATTTATTTAACAAAAACTAGTCCAAAATGGGGAAGACAAACTGAGTACAGCCTTTCTGCTTCCATAGGAATTAAGAGAGTGAGTAGCAGTCAGGCACTTCTAATCAAATGCCTTTGATTAACTGATCATCAGCACGTGTGATCAACTCTATAAAAGCAGGAGTTTTGGCAGTTTTCTGGTCTGGAGCCTTCAGGTGTGTGTTAACACAATGCCGAGGTGGAAAGATGCCAGCAATGATCTTAGAGAAGCAATTGTTGCTGCCATCAATCTAGGAAACAAGCAAGCACACTAAGCAAATAGAGAATGGTGTTGCAATGGCCTCAACCCGAAGTCCAGACCTCGACCCGACTGAAATGCTGTGGCGGGACCTTGAGAGAACTGTGCATAAACAAATGTCCGCAAACCTCAATGAAATGAAGCAACGTTGTAAAAAAGAGCGGGCAAAAATTCCTCCAGAACAATATGAGAGACTGAAAAATCATACAGAAAACGAAAGATTAACAATAAAAGAAGAAAAAAAACTGTATAGATCAATGCGTCCTTTAGAATGGAATCATTAGTAATGTTTTTTTGAGATATTGATTCTAGTGCAGAAATAAATTAATCTAAACACGGAGTAATTGAGGATGACAATCTGTGCTATACAAACATATACATTATGAAATGCATAAAACTTTCTGACCACCAGAAAAGGTTTTTCTTTAGAAAATGACCCAATTCCATCTGAACAGAAAAAGTATAACATAAATATGCTTAAGGACATCAAACTATGGTGATAACTGTAAGTCCAGCTCCAAAGAACTGTCATCACAGTCAGCAGTGAAGTCACTGTCCCGCTCAATCTCAAGAATCGTGTCCAGCAAGAAGGAATATTCCTCATTACTATCGTGAACCCAGCGGTCGGTACTCTCCTCTTCCATACCACTGTTTGCTCCTTCTCTTTGGTGTAAAGAGGATTCTGGGTTTTTACTCTGCAAGGATCTACTGCAGACGCGGTTCAGCTCATTTTCAAACTCCAGCTTGGCCACAAGATCCTCCAAGGTCTGTATGTCTGAAAATACAGGATGATATTATTCATAAGAGTTGTGTGTCACACCTGACATGATTTTGATGATGATAAAAAGGACCCTTGGTGACATCACTGACCGAGGAGCCCATGCAGATCTCGCAGTACTGAACGTGTGCAGCACAGAAAGTCTTCCTTCCTATTGATAGAAAACGGCCTATAATTATACATGATAATCGGGACAACTGCAGCATTTATCACTGATAAACAGTATACACACCTAAAACACATGCAGTCTGGTCTCTCTGTGCAGTGGTCAAATACACATGTGTCATCATTCTGTGATATTCTAACCAGGCTTTGAGAAGAGACACTGTTTGGAGACGACGACGAGCCGCATGGAACCTCGTCTGCTGCCTGATCCAAAGCTGCCGCAAGGCCTCGTCTGCATTTTCTTAATTTAGTTGACATTCCTTTATTGATTTAAAACAATTAAGCACAATATGTTACACATTACATTAAGCTCACAGAAAAGCACCTCGAAAACTACTATATTGGCAAGTACCAATAGTGCTTATTAGTGAGCTGTAGATCTGCACAATACAGGTCAAAGGGCAAAAATACTTTATAAAACAGTGACATATATTAATAGCCTAAGCTAAGAGATTAGTTATTAGCATTGGACATGATATCATGATAATACCATGTTTTTAGACATGAAATTCAAAGGCTATGAACATAATAATCTATCACTGCCTGGTAAAAACAAAAACAAAACATTGCTCAATACGGTTGCTCAAAACTGAACATCAGTCGAAAATGTTACTATACATAATATATAATTACATTGGTGATTCTAATAGATATTTACCTGCTCTGAATAGGATGTTTTTGCAGATAAACTTCGTTATGAATATTAAATGTTGAATCGCCCGAGGACTTGAATGTCTGTTAATAACGTGCAGCAGAATGTTATTATTTATGTGTATTTTTTTGTATTCCGTTTATTTTTCCGTTTATTCCGTTCGTACAAGCTGACTGCATTCTAAAGTTTCAAGAATATCACGCATTAATACTGAGTTCAAGAGATTTTAGTCAAGCCATTAACACAATTCTATATAAAAAATCCATTTAAATATATAGGCCTAATTGTGAAATGTAGATTATTTATTTTTCCTAGTATATCTTTATATAGGTTAGTATATGCTAATATATTATATTAACTAGTTATTTTATTATTATAGGCTAGGTCTATTATCTTCTAATATATACATATCATCTATTTACTTTCATTTTCAATGTCTGTAATGTATTTACTCGATTATTTTCTTCTTCTTTTGTATTTTATTGAAGCAATTGTCGTATAATAACAAAATTCAAGTGCAACAAATCGCTTGTTTGTGTTTGATTTCATATGATCCCTCCGTTCTTTTCCTCGTAATCTCCAGAATGAACTGTGATTCGCTGTTTGTCCATGACGGGGCGCTGCTGCTTCCTCTCTCACACACAGACAGCGGCTAACGCTAACGCTAACTAGCTCACGATGGCCGGACAGGAGGATCCAGTGCAAAGGGAAATTCACCAAGACTGGGCGAACCGTGAATATATCGAAGTGATCACCAGCAGCATTAAGAAGATAGCCGATTTCCTCAATTCCTTCGGTAAAATGGAGAATCTTTGTCGTGTCGTTTAATGTTGCTTAATTTATTACGCCTTTTCTTCACGCTAGCATGCTAATCGGGAGAAGTGGGTCATTCGACTGCTTTATGTGTAGAAAATATGGCGGTTAATTCAATTGTTTTGTTTTTAATGTCGTTTAGGAACAAATAATATCGTAATTGTTGTGTATGTTGTTGGAAGACGTGGTTTATTAGAAATACAAATAGTGTAATGACCAGGAAAAACATGTAGGGCGTTGGGTTGGTCTGATGTTGGTCTTGTCGTCCATGTTTCAAATTTGCAACTTTATTAAACGTTGCCTTTCAATGATGATTTAGCTCATTGATATACAGAAATATAATGGCCATATAGACATCTAAAAACTTCATAATCTTATGGTAAACGGACAGGTTAGCTAATGCAGAGACATTTGTTTGTTTTGATAAACCATCCCCAGTTTCAGTGCCAGTACAGTATGTGCAATATCAATAATATGAATAACTAATTTAACAAATAAGTTATTTATATTACAAATATATTCTTATTTATGTTATCATACAGTATGTATGTATGTATATATATATAATAATAAGCCTACTATTTTGTAATTTATAATAAACCATCTGGTGCTGTCAAAAATGAAATGATTTTACTATATTTTAGTTTGAATTTTTTATTTATTTAATATTTTGTATCATTGGTGGATTTTATGGTACTAAACTATATTTATGCAGTAGTTATGGTCCATTTATTCCCTTTTTGAGCATGGCCCTGAAAATTTCTTTTTCATAAATCTTGAATGCTTTGGATCAGATTTTAGTTTCTGGCACACTTGGCACATTTGAAAAACTTGAAAAAAGTTATACAATTTTACTTTATTATAACGAAAATTGTACAAAAATTAAAAAACATTTTTTTAATTGAAATATATATTTTCCAAAGCACGTTTTACTCCAAAACGGTGGGAAATTTAAAGCCATTAATCAAAACATCTGTTCCAAATTTGAGGTTGATATATATAAAAAATGAGCTTTCAGTAAGAATTTGTTTGGGTGGAGTATCAAACGTTTCTAATAGATGAAATTTGTCTCCCATTCATTTCCAACAATACAATACAAGTGTGACTATTTTTGACCATTTAACCTTTTCGTATCATGTCCATGATTTTTTGTGTGTTCACAACTTCACAGAGCAAGTGCCAAAACCTTTCCCAAGTTTCATACTATTCCTATGAAGTAAAACATTCTAAAAACAAAATGTAAAATGTTTAGTTCAAAAATGACCAAACAGCACCAAAGGGTTAATAATAACAATTGAAAACTTTTGTAATTTTTAATGTTTTGTGTCAGAGGAAATTATTGCTATTCTATGTTTCATAATACTGAAATGTGTCTCTTTTTGTCTTCAGATATGTCCTGCAGGTCCCGTTTAGCCACTTTGAATGAGAAGCTTACTGCTTTGGAGAGGAGGATTGAGTACATTGAAGCCAGAGTATGTTTTTATGATTTTATAAAGTCAAAAACAAGAGTTTGCAAGACCCTCTTGTTTTAAGTTTTTTTTAAATATACCCCTGATTTGTTTTCTGTTTCGTCTCTTAAGGTCACAAAAGGGGAAACCTTGACTTAGACATCGCCTTGGTTCGACGTCGAGGTCAAGATGATGCCTAAGAACACTCACCTCCTGTCTTTATTTTTCATTTTAATTATTCAAACTACATTTTTATTAGTTGGCTGTTGTAGATCAGTTCTTTTCTGTATGGGACCATTGTGATGATGTCTATGCTATAAACAGATGTTTGTTCTTCCTCATTTCATGCTGAGGTTATACTGTATCTGGTCCTCCATTTTTTTTTGGATCTGTCAGGCAACCTGTTACTGTCTCTGTGGTGCTTGTTCATGCAAACAACCCAATGTTGTATGTATGTTTGTTGTTCTGACTTGCTGTTAAACAACTGTTTATCTTTGACACCACGCAAAATATAATAACGGTCATGCAAATATAGATTGAAATCCCCATGGATAAACAGACATCATGCCTTTTTTTATTACTTTTTTTAATTCACCCTCCTTTGTTTTACCAGAGTCTATTCTGATCTTGTTAAATTACAAAAGTATGTTTAAAATACATTGCTGCCTGCTGTACATTTATCATGCAACAAACATCATGAGAAATGCCAGTTAGAGGTGGAAGTGGATGGAAAGCACTAAAGTGCCAATCAGACTGTTTTAAAGTGTTTAGTGCTTCTCTCCAGTTACACAATTTTATGTCTCAGTGTTTTTGTGGTTAAACATTAAATAAAAAAAGTTAAATGGACATGCTTGTGTATATTTCAATAATTAGTAACATAGATATCAATATTCTAGCAATTAAAATGTACATATTAAACATTAATACACACATATATATGACTGATTTAATATCACAATTAGCAGTCGCAACATAAGAAAATGCGAATACGTTTTAAAATATACATATATGGGTTACAGCTGCTTTCAACAGCATCTCACTCTGAAATGCAAAACATAACATAATAATTCTATCTATTTGTCTATATCTGTAAGATTCTGATTGCATATACAATTTGTTACCGTAAACCCCCCACAATTTTATATAAATTCACCTCAATGTAACGTCTGCATGAACGTAATAATTGATATACCAATAACATCCTAAAAACTCAACGTACGATAGGACTTTTATATTGCATAAACTCCGAGCTTTTATGCGTGTCTAGTAGCATTTCCGTTTCCGTTTCTCATATGGTCGTAAATTGAAAATCAAGCCCGAAGTTGATAATGTTCTCTTTCACATCAGAGTCAGACATAAATGTTAAAAAAACACACAATGCGATCATACAGCCGGGATCTGAGTTGCGGAATCGAGAATGTTCCTGTTTTGATTGAGAACAGCGTCCCCAAAGAAGCTTTTTCCAGCTTTCAGGTGATTTATGTTTTTTTTTTACTGTCCTTACAGTGTGTTCTTTATAGATATATTGACATTTTCATAATTTTGCAGTCTAACAGTGGTTTCAAACAGCACGTAAGTTGATTTTAATGACGATATTGACTAGAGACGTACACGGCATGAATAGTTCTGTCACACCGCCACCAGATGCCAGCACTTTCACACTGATTTCCAGCTCACTGTAAGTCTTAAAGGGATAGTTCACCCAAAAATGTAAATGTTGTCATTACTTACTCACCTTCAAGTTGTTCAAAAACCTGTATGAGTTTCTTTCTTCTGTTGAACACAAAATATATTTTGAAGAATGTTGGTAATCAGACCGTTGACGGCACCCATTGACTTCTGTAGTAAAAAAATAAAAATACTATGTAAGTTAATGGGAGCAACTGTCTGGTTTACCAGCATTTTTCATCATACATTTTTGTGTTCAACAGAAGAATGAAACTCATACAGGTTTGGAACAACATGAGGGTGAGTAAATGATTACAAAACTTTCAATTTTGTGTGAACTAGCCCTTTAATCTGAGTCAATCCTTTAGTATGTGCCAGAGAATGTACAAGGACCAGGCTGTGACCTTGACCCTAGTGCGGTGACCCTCCCCGGCTGCTCATGTCGAACCCGGTCCTGCCTGCCCGACAGCTGCCCCTGCTTGAGGTTCGGCCAGACGTACGACAGCGAGGGATGTCTGAACCAACAGCAAGAGGACGCTGGCTACAGCAGGCCTGTTTTCGAATGCAATGCCTTATGTGCCTGTGGCGACTCCTGCCAGAACCGCGTCGTTCAAAACGGAGTCGATGTTGGTCTGGGTGTTTTCAGCTCCGAGGACAGGGGTTTGGGGGTGGAGGCTCTCGACCGCCTCCCTCGTGGCCGATTCGTATGCGAGTACGCCGGGGAAATAATCGGGAGACATGAGGCCCGTCGCCGGCAGCTCTCCCAGACTCCTCTAGACATGAACTACATCATCGCTGTTCAAGAGCACAGCGGAGGGGACGGCGCCACCCAGACGTTCGTGGACCCCGTCGCTGTAGGGAATGTGGGGAGGTTCATCAACCACTCCTGCCAGCCCAACCTGCTCATGGTGCCGGTTCGAGTGCACTCGCTGCTGCCCAGACTCGCTCTGTTTGCCAATCGAGATATAGAAAGGTATGAGGAGCTGACTTTTGACTATGCAGGAGGACAGACCAGCAGCACAGACACACTGACATGGGACAACACGCCAAGCGGGACTCACACAGGGCCTGATGGTCACAAAATACCACAGAAAAAAGTCTGTCGTTGTGGGGCTTCAAACTGCTCAGGATTTTTACCATTAGATTTGTCAGTTCTCCATTAAAAACAGTCTTTAAACTAAGCTTAGAATGCGTTCTAATGACTTGGGATTAGAAATGTATGGTTTAGAGCAGGAGTTCTCAACTCTGGCCCTCAAGGTTGTTTCGCTCCAACCTTGATCAAACTCTCCTAGTAATCCAGAAGACCTTGTTTAGCTTGTTCAGGTGTTTGACTGGAACTAAACTTTAAAGTGGATCTCAAAGGCCAGAGTTGAAAAGCCCTGATTTAGAAGTTAATTTAAAGTTTAAAACTTGTAGTTATATTCAAATAGTATTATTATTTTTCATTTTGTGAAAGTGTTGAAATTGGGGGCAAATGTTTTCTGTGCTTATTAACATATGCATGAAAAAAGACTGACGTGTACTTGATTGTTAGAAAGACCTGTTTAGGTGTACATTTAGCAATAATAATGAAATTCTGAGACACTTTATAAGAAGTTTCAGTTAGTTTGCATTCGTTTAAGACACTTAATGACGAAAACATATTTTTACAGCACCTATTAATCTAAGTTCATGTTAATGTACAATTATTACAGTATAATTTACAGTATAAAGTTAATGTTTTTGTTTTTTTACACATACATTAACCTAGATTAAATGCTGTAAAAATGTGTTAGTTCTTGATCAGTGTCATTATTGTTAAAAATTAGAAACATTGCCATGGCAACTAACCAAATATGCAAGTTTAAGTTCTAAAATTTCTAAAAAACAACAACTAATAACAATGAAAAATGCACAAATCACTAAACTGTAACTGAAAAAGTAAAAAATAAAAGCTAAAACATAACACTGCTCATGATATCTAATGCACTGACTAATGTTAACAAATGGAATGTTGAATGTCCTAAACTCTATCACTTTATCATAGCAACATCGTGTGTTTTGTCTCCTTTAAGAGCAGTCTGGGTTTCTCATGGTATCCTTTAGGGTAATGAGCAATTAAAAAGGGCCCATGGGTGTTTTAATATAGTAACTGCTGTCACACACACACACCACGGGTGGGAGTGACCCACTTCACTCTGACGCCAGCCTTAAATCTGCCCCCTCTCCTCTCCATCTGCCCCATTTCCACTCCAGCCTCGCTTCCATCACCACCGCAATATTAATATCCACATCTGGGTTAATTAGCACAGAGACCAAAAACCAGAGCAAATCGCAAGGCATTCTGGGTAGAAGCAGATAGGTTCCATCTTTATCAGTGACACTCTACTCATCAAGTACGTTTGATTACATCGCCACTGGTAGAAATTTAAGTCAATGTTTCTGAAAACAAGCAAGTCGTGTTTTATTTTTTCATAAATATGTTATTATAAAAAAGGGAAAGAGACTTAAATATTAATATTAATACAAATAAATATTTTTATTAATAATGAATACATTGCAAAATTTTATAAACTCTCTCTCTCTCTATATATATATATGTATATATATATTAGTAACAATATACAATACTGTTCAAAAATTTGGTGTCAGACTTTTTTTTCTTTCTTTAAAAAAAAGAGAAATTAATACTTTTAATCAGCAAGGATGTATTAAATTGATAGAATTTATAATAATAGTAAAGTAAAATAATAATGGTATAGTAAAATTATAATAATAGTAAAAATTTGTAAAGATTTATTTGTTAGAAAATATTTATATTTTGATTAAATGCTGCTCTTTTTAACTTTTTAAAACCTAAAAAGTATCACAGGTTTAAAAAAATATTAAGCAGCACAACTGTTTCCAACATTGATAATAACTTCGTATCAAATCATCATATTAGAATGATTTCTAAAGGATCATGTGACACTGACGACTCGAGTGGCTATTGAAATAATAAAATAATAAACAAAATATATATATATATTGCAAATTATTATCATCTATTATTAACATTTAAGTCCCTTTCTCAGTGTATGATGACCTAAACATGCAAAACATTTTCTCAAGGATGTTAGCCAGTGTTTGTGATTATGGGTATCAAATATTAAACTTGTATTGATGGACTTCTTCTCTGATTAATGAGGAACACACACTGTGTCTAGCGGTTATAGCCCTGTATTTATTAGTAGTGATTGTGTTTCCTTGCACTTCGATCCACTGATAATGTGAGGATTGTGGCAAACTCTCCTAATCCTGTTTTTGTCTCATGAGTCACTGGGTTTGGTGAGTGAGCCGACATTCCTGGGTCTCTATGGCAACGGGATGTGTGATATCGACTGATGCTGCGTGTAGGCTGTAGTGTTTAGCAACCATTGGTGAAGAGTGAAATCTGTAATTCTCTGCTCCGTTAGCAAGTGTCAGCTTTGCCTCTTGAGGTTGTATACCAAGTGTTTGACTAACAAGGGAGGACATGTCATGATGAGGTCATATTTTCACCTCCGAGAGAGAGAGAGAGGGAGAGAGAGCTGCACTGACTGCAACCTCTGCACCATTGAAAGGGACACCAGTTTCAGGGCACTTCCCTTAACCTCTGACCTCTGTGCTTATTTAATCTGTTTGTCAGATAAAAGAACAATTGGAAAAAAAGAGAAAAAAATAAATTACAAAAATTGAGTAGCTAAATAAAAAAAATTTTATTATATCTTTATTTTTTTTTTATTATTATTTTGTATTATTTCAGAGCATATTATAATGTATTCATATTTGCTATTTATAAATAAAGATTCAAAGTCATTTATTAGCATTTAATTTTTTTTCTTTTCATTTGATTCATATTAATCAGTTAACTATTAGCAATACTCATAATGTATAAAATACAATAATTATGTTTGATAATAAACAAAATAACAAAATTGAAAATAACATATTTCATAAAATATTAAATAAAATACAAGTAATACAAAAGTATAAAGACTTTATGTATATATATATATATATATATATATATATATATATATATACATATATACATAGGCTATATATATATATATTATTCCCCCCAAATGTTTATGTTAGATGCGAGTAATAGTAATATATATATATATAGCCTATGTATATATATATATATATATATATATATATCATGATTACTCGCATCTAACAAAAAATTATAAAATATATATAATTTATATATATATATATATATATAATGATGAATTAAATTAATAATTCATTGATTAGATTGACACTATATATATATATATATATATATATATATATATTTCTATTGATGAATTAATAATTATTCATTGATTGATTGACAAAATGAATTAATATTTAAAGTTTTGATAGAGAGTTTAAAAATGGAATATATTGTGGTATAGGCAACTAAAATCTAATTTTATCCAAAAAAGATGCATTTCTATTTATTGGCTGGCCTTTTTTTTCTTTGGCTTGAGATCCTCTGGAGAAACTAGGGCAGTGTTTTTCCCTTCAGACTCGGCTAATGTCCACGCTGCTGTTGTTCAGTGCAGCCGAGTTTAAAACAGTGTTGACTTATATTTTTATATAGAACATTATCAAGAGAGTTTCACTGCAACATGAGGGAAAAAGAGAAATATTCCAGTGGCCTAAATAAGGATGTGACTTTATCCACTGATGTGATTTATGAGTATAAAATGAGCTATGTTCATAACATGGGCAACACTGAGGCATCCTGGTGAAAAATCTTTGGGATTTAAAATGTACAATATGACTATAATTTTCATATAAATTGGCACAAAAAATACATTTAGGCAACTTCCAATAACTTATAAAGAGTAGCTATATCTTTTGATGTGTGAAAAATCAATAAAAATTCTTTCCAGCGTCAGTTCTCATGGGCAAAATGATGCATCCTCCACATGATGCAAGAAACACTTACAGTGTCTTCTATATCTATAAGCTCTTTATAGTTTTATCAAAAGTCATCGCTTCACTATTATCAATTTTATTCCCATCTTAAATGCCTTTTGTGCTTGCAGAGTGAGGCAAGATATGCAATACAGTCTGAATGAAACAATCTGTGCTTCTTCCGCTGTTCCTCCACTGTTTAACGTTCTGTAATTCTTGGTTTGCAGAAGCGCAGTGAGCTTCTCTCATCAGTCACGCTTGTCCTCCACGCTGCCATTAGAGACAGGCAAATTACACAGTGCTTAATAGTGACTTAATGAAGCTGGGCTTGGAGAACTCAAACTTGCTAATCGGTCATTATTACTCAGAGACCCTCGGAGATCCTGCCATCCGGAATGGAGAAAGAAAGTGACATTAAACTCAGCTGGTTATATTGTGTAAGAGCTCACAGCGCAAGATCGCAGGCCTGTTTTGATGAGGAGAAAACCAGCAAATACATTAATAGTGATGAGAATTATTTATTTCAAAAGGTTTCCATTGGATCTCTCTCTCTCTCTCTCTCTCTCTCTCTCTCTCTCTCTCTCTCTCTCTCTCTCTCTCTCTCTCTCTCTCTCTCTCTCTCTCTCTCTCTCTCTCTCTCTCTCTCTCTGCACTGCATCCTCAGATATCATATCTCGGAAGAGTAGTGATGAGAATTATTTATTTCTAAAGGTTTCCATTGGATCTCGATCTCTCTCTCTCTCTCTCTCTCTCTCTCTCTGCACTGCATCCTCAGATATCATATCTCAGAAGAGTAGTGATGAGAATTATTTATTTCTAAAGGTTTCCATTGGATCTCGATCTCTCTCTCTCCTCTCTCTCTGCACTGCATCCTCAGATATCATATCTCAGAAGAGTAGTGATGAGAATTATTTATTTCTAAAGGTTTCCATTGGATCTCTCTCTCTCCCTCTTTCTCTCTCCCTCTTTCTTTCTCTCTCCCTCTCTCTCTCTCTCTCTCTCTCTCTCTCTCTCTCTCTCTCTCTCTCTCTCTCTCTCTCTCTCTCTCTCTCTCTCTCTCTCTCTCTCTCTCTCTCTCTCTCTCTCTCTCTCTCTGCACTGCATCCTCAGATATCATATCTCGGAAGAGTAGTGATGAGAATTATTTATTTCTAAAGGTTTCCATTGGATCTCTCTCTCTCCCTCTTTCTCTCTCCCTCTTTCTTTCTCTCTCCCTCTCTCTCTCTCTCTCTCTCTCTCTCTCTCTCTCTCTCTCTCTCTCTCTCTCTCTCTCTCTCTCTCTCTCTCTCTCTCTCTGCACTGCATCCTCAGATATCATATCTCGGAAGAGTAGTGATGAGAATTATTTATTTCTAAAGGTTTCCATTGGATCTCGATCTCTCTCTCTCTCTCTCTCTCTCTCTCTCTCTCTCTCTCTGCACTGCATCCTCAGATATCATATCTCAGAAGAGTAGTGATGAGAATTATTTATTTC